GACGCCTGGTTGGCGTCCTGGACGCCTGGACGGCGTCTTGAGAAGCCGGACGCCGACCTGGGCGTCGGCATGGCTACCCGGGCGCCTGGTCGACGTCCTGGGCGTCTGCTCGGCGTCCTGAGAGGCCAGACGCCGACCTGGGCGTCTGGTAAGCATCCTGGGAGGTTGGACGCCGCTCTGGAGGTATGCACGGCGTCCTGGGCGCCTGGACGCCGACTTGAGTGTCCGGACAGCGTCGTGGACGCCTAGATACCGAACTGGGGATGTTGGGCATGTGTGGCCGGCTACGGACTGAGCTGGTCGACCAGACGTGGTTGCTCGGTCGACCGGGATACCCGGGCGACGTGTGCGAAGGTCGCGAGGGTGACGTCTGCGAGACCGACTTCGGGGCTGGTATCCCGAGGTCGATATGGCTGGTGGACGCAGTCGCTGGCATGGAGTCTGCCAGGCATCTGCGCTGTGCTCGTGACAAGGTGTGGAGCGCCAACCAGCTGCACGCATCTGCGAAGCAGGTGCACCGTTGTCCTGCGGGTGCAACGCTGTGCAGCCGCCTTGCTGCAGCGTTGGCACACCGTGGACTTGCAACGTTGGCGCACCGCTACTCTGCAACGCTGGAACGGTGCGAGCGCTGCTGTGCTGGAGCGCGGTCAACCGTGCTGTGCTGGAGGTCGACCAGCAGCCTAGCTAGCTCTAGTGTAGTTTGTGCTGCCAATGTTGTTGCTATCATTGTTGTTACCCTTTTGCTAGTGAAACTCTTGCCAATTCTCCCCGTGAACTAGCAAGTAGTGTGTGCACTAGGAAAACGACTAAGGAACAACGAACGCAGAGATCACACGAGCACCCGTGCCTAGCCCGTAGTCTAGCTCCCGTTGTATGAGTTATCTCCTCATGTTTACCTCCCTAAACACTGTTTCAGGTGGCCTAATTCATTGCTCGTGCGGTCGGGAGTGCGCATAGTTCTGGAACACCCAGATTTGGCCCAGGATGTGGCCTCGCAGATTTTGTAGAGCGGAAGGGAGGGCGACGGGCGGAAGGGAGTGCGTTGAGGAGTTGGCGAGCGTGTTCATTTGAGGCGAGCGTCTAGTTCCTTGCGCGTCGCCCGTAGATGTGAGCACTGTGGTTGTTACAGAAATGGGTGTATCCGATGACGTTGTTTCTATACTGTGTATTCTCATTTAAGATCAACAAACAGGCTGCTGTTATGATACAGCTTGCTGCTATTTGTAATAAGGTGTGGAAACAAGACCTTCTGGGAGTGAACAACAGGGTAGATTATATATTTTTTGCCTGAATATGGCTGCCAATTAGTACAACATGGTTTCCAAGTTTATTGATTGTGAACAGTGCTTCATTGCCCGTTGGTACTCACTCCTGATGCCTTGTTTTGTCGCTGGCCAATGATTTATCAACGTCGCAAAACCTCTCCTCTTAATGGAGACGGAATGCTCCACTTCGGGTGGTAACATGGTATTTAGGACGCGGTAAAAGTAGACGATCGATCGTCAGTCGCGATCGATGTGCGGATTGGTTACCCTATTAACCATGCTACAGTACCTTTTTTTGCCTATTGTGTGTGAATGCGAATGATCACCAATCGCAGGAGACCTGTCAATTCTCAGGTGCGGTCGTTACAATGTCGCGGTTGCCATGTTTCGCCAATCAATCTGCCCAATCGATTTGCAGACGAACCTGCGATATTTGCACTTGTACCGCGTCCTTAGCGAGTTCATATTCAAGAATCTTGAATTTGAAAAATGCCATGTGGAACTCGGGCTTCAAGAGAAGGTCAGCGGAAGCGATAATGAACTAGTAGGGGAAGGGGTACTAGTAGAGTGTCCATGTGTACCCTATACAAAGCAACTTACTACTTTAGTTCAGCAACAACAAACATATAAATATATTTTGACAAAGATTGCTATGATTAGTCTTAAGTACGTGATAAAAGTATGATGGTGGGCAGTTTTCCTGATTTTCCAGGTTGGTGTGACATGCCCAAAGGGCTGCAACTTTTGGCCAGTTTCTGCATGATCCACTTATTATGGAGTGCCCTGCAATGTTCCCATACAGAAGTCTATTCGTACACAGATATGAATTTGAAGTATTTTGAAATCTCTAGGAAATGTACCAGCTTCAACCGAACCAACTTCTGGAAATCGGAAAATACGTACGGAAGCCGGCTATTGGTATCTTACGACCACGCTCCTTACAGTACAGCATCAGAAAGTAGGTACACACGATGCCCGGTTGAGCCCCCCAACTTTGGCCTACCCCATGTGCGTATAAGTGATTCTGCATTTCGCGGTGGTTTCGTCAATTCGCGTCGGGCAAAAAGGGCTTATATTAAAATTTTGTAACTTACCGTTGACTGTTTGACTGCAGTCTCATCAGTCAGACTTCCGTTTCTGTGGCTCTTATTGGTCGACGTGCTTGTAACGTAGGTGCAACTTCGCGGCAAGAAACCCACGGGTGCAAGGTTTCTGGAACGTGCAAGGCAATTTCGCGTGCACGGGTTGGGCATCGACTGTAGGCCAACGCCACACCTCGACAATTCTGTGGACTAGATACAGCTTGTGAAAATGTGTCGGTTTATGCCACTATACCCCAACCTGAAAGTCTGGCCAGCTGTAGAGAAAAGGGGCCAAAAAACAAGTACGGTTCTCCTAAAATACACCCCGACAGATAGACATTCATCTACATCACTACCCAAGAAGGCGTATGCGTTTTTTCCTTAAAGCAGAACACTGCATACCGTTGCGCACATCTAAAAGGAGAGTTGTGATTATTTATGTACTGGTCTCTTTTAACAAAGCCGCTGTAGTGTGCGTTCTTGGCTTACGGAGAAGGTTGTCAGCGCCTGTTCAGCAAGCGCGATACATTCGTGGCATTTTCGTCACCATTTTAGCGAGATTGACGACCAGGCTTCACCTGGCGAAAATATTCGTTTCACTGTAAATGCAACAGTGTAACTAATCGCAAGCATCGCTAGGTGCCCCGATCACAAGCAATCAATTGATTGCCTGTGATCGAGGAAAATCGACTCTGATCGGGGTTAAAAACGGGTCTGATCGAGGTTGGGCGATCAGCTGATCGCGATCAGCTGATTGCCCCTGATTGCCTGAATTTGGCTTCCAGGCTTCCTGGAAATTATTGATCGTTGCTGATCGAGGCGATCAAACCCGTTTGGGCCCACGCTGTTACTATCAAATCCTAGCTATACACAATCACTTTCTGATTTTTTCCATCCAAACATCCGCACCTCTGGGGCAACAACAAACATCTGGTGGTTGTCCATTTGCACCCCGCACCAGGATTTCCGACACCAGCTGTTCCACTCGTAGTTTGTGGTTGTGGGCGCAGTTCAAGCGGTTGAGGGCTGGAACTTCAATTTTTGGAGGCAGAGTTTTACATTCTGACCGAAGTGCAGACTAGCCCGCTCACAAGGAATACATTTTTTAATTTGTGGAAGTGGTTATTCAAAACAATTGAAATAGCTGGAACTTGCGTTCTCATCTCGCTGGGGTTCTGTCTCAGGACGTGTCTCAGTTCGCCTCGGGTTGCCTCGATCAGACACGATCAATAACTTCCAGGAAAGTAAAGAGGCGATTTCATGCAATCAGGGGCAATCACTTGATCGCGATCAGCTGATCGCCCCAACTCGATCAACCGCCTGCGAAAACAGCCCAATCAAACACAACCACAGACAATCACCGACGATCACTTGATTGCATTTGATTGGGGTACTACACGACGCTAGCGAACAGTTACATCGTTCGGCAGGGATTCGTGAAACCCTCGCGATTACCCCGCTGTGGAAACCTCCGCTCTGGAACTGCAGCGTTTCTGGATTGGCCCGTTTTCGCGACATTACAGGGAAACACTCAAATTCGCTAAATCCATCACGAGGGGTTCGCAGTCGCCAAAGTGGGCTCGAAGATGGCAGGAAATGTATGTACGCCTTCTGTGTAACCTCGTAAAAAGTTCGAGGAAAATCTTTTCTGATCGGGCGGCGCGAGCTATCCAAACAAAGGCACCCCGATCAGATCAGCCCCGACCAGATTACAGCCGACCAGAGGCGAAACGAGACACGTCTTCAGTGATTCCAAAGTGAGTGTGGAGGTTCTCTGCTGCTTCCTAAATTTGGGTTACCCCACGTCGTAGTCTCAGATTGTTCGTCAGCGCCCGGTATTGAGAGCGTTGTGGGGACAGGTTTCGCCTTGCAGAAACCTGTCACACCAGAGCACGATGCATCAGGATACTCATCAGACGTTGGATACCTTTCACGGGATAAAATAATGCTTCTCAAGAAATGAAGGCTACGATGTGAGGTTTCCGGTTGCGGAAGATTCATACCTACCAGCCACACAATGCAACACCACAACTCCCCTATACAGCGGGGCGTGGTGTGAGAAGGGAATGGTGGGTGGAGGGAGAGGAGAAGTAGGGCCATGAAGCTGCACGCAGGTTCGCAACATCGCTAAAAGGTATTCCTGTCTGGAGTCTGTCGTATGTACAGAGGTGGGGCACGAACCGACCCACGGTACGTGGCTTGTCAGACCGAATTGAAGTTCTGTAACTTATAGACGCCTAAATCAAATACAGAACAAGAAGCTATTGTCTGAACAAGAGCTATTTTGTCAATTAATTGAAATAAAGGGCAACCACCCTGACACAGGGACGGTGATGGCATTGAGGGTTTGCTGTCTGGCCTGGAGGAAAGCAACCAAACCAACCCTGCTTCAGTTCACGGCACAACCCACAAATGTTCAGAGAGCAAGCAACCACATTCACGATTGAGCTGAGCATTCAGTCAAACGCACGCCACCCCTCTCCTCCGCGCTACAGAGCACCAAGCTCCCAGACGTCACCGACTGGAGCGAAGATAGTCTGACACTGACATCGAGAAACATCAAATCGAAATTGACGTTCCCCTGATACAGTACAGCTGTTGGCCCTACTCAAAGGATTCATTACATCATTCGTCTCTCGCGTAGTCCACAACAATGGCTCATCGTCACAGCATGCTGGTACTTCTCCTTTCCCTCTTCTTCCTCTCGCCGTTCCAACGCCTCGCCGACGCAGCCACAGCTCCACAACCAGCGCGATTCGAGCTGGCGATGGCGGAGACCCCTGCAATGAGCGCTGAGGCCAAGGCGCAACTCCACGCGAGGGCGCTCCGCGACGCCATGCTCGACGACCCGTCGCTCGACGACGACGGCGACGACGACGGAGAAGACGGCGACGACGAGGGTGCGCGGCGGCAGCTGAAGGGCATGAAGGGGCGCGACGTGGGGCTGACGCCGCCGGCGCTGAACTCGGGGCCGAGCATGGCGGACGTGAACGGCACCCTCTACCGCTGGGACTCCGTGTCGCCCAAGGCCATCGTCGACTGGCGCCAGACCCGATACATCTCGCCCATTCAACGCCAGTTCGAGGTGCACCCCGTAACCAGCTGCCGCATTTGAACGCTCGAGTTGCGGTGCGCGTGATCCTTGTAGTTAAGCCGGTCGCTCGCTGCCGGCCGCCTCGTTTCCTGCCGGTCGCTTCCTGTCGCCTCGTTTCTCCTCTTTTCAATTTCGTTTCCTGTTCGTCTATTGATGACAGTGCGCGAGCTGCTGGGCGATCGCAGCCGTCGATTCCATCTCCATGATGTGGGCCATCACCACCAAGACAGACCCCATTGTTCTGTCGCCGCAGCAGGTGCGTGCGACCACGGCAAACGGCGCAGTGCCGCTGCTTTCTTTTCCATCGCGCCCGTGCCTCGCTTGTGATTTCGCTGTCGCCAACATCGCGGAAAAGGGTTGGGCCAATTTTCGCGTCTAAGTCCCAGAGCTGCAGGAAAGTTGCGCAAAAGTTGCAGAAAAGTATCCGAGTCCGAGCTACCGGTCCTTGCAACTTTCCACATTTCCCACCAAGTCCTGCACACAGGGTGAGACACACATCGGCCGGACCGCCATCGCTGCGGAATGCCAAATTTTCCCGGCGGTCCGTGACATCTCGCGCCGCGGGTGAATGCGATTGGGCAATCAAGTACACTCCGCGGTTCGCATACAAGGAATACCCGTTTGCTTGTGGTGTTACACAACCGAACACTTCCTCTTACGTTTGGTGTACAAGAAATTTGCACATTTCGCGAGAGCCCGGTTGACGCCATCCAACATAGCAAACACATCTGATACACCATTGAATCCTTCTGCATTATCAACCACAACAACCACACATGTTTCCAGCGCAAACCCCACACTTCCAACAAGCAGCACGTACTACACCTACCACAGCTCCATAACACCCATGTCATGTATTCTACTCTGTAGTACCAGAGCAACCCGCGCTCCGCAAGCACGGCCACACTACTGCCTTACACCATGCGTACGACGCTCTCCTTGTCATCCTCCAATGGGAACAACACACCCGCCTTCGGGATGTGGCCTCCCTCATCCGACGCGGAAGACGTGAGCCCCTCATCACTGGAGCTGCACACCCGGATGCGCTTAGTAGGTGTGCGTCGAAGGCGGCTCGCAACCTCCTCATTCACCACGCCGGCCTCCTCTGGCACGTCCTTCGGCTGAATACCCAAGGCCTCCGCACGCTTCACGAAACCACCGTGAACCATGCGGCCCACCCGGCGACAGCTGCGGCTGTCGCGCATGAGCGGGCCCTCCGGGATGCAAAAAAAGGCCGGAATCTCATCCTCTGAGCCTTCCTCCTCGGCCCCCTCAGGCGCCCACTTCTCAAGTAGAAATTCGTCGCACCCCACGAAGTCCCACGCCGTCATAAACGCCCCGCTGCTGCACTTGCTTTTGAACTCCTCGATCACTAGCTGCAGGCACGTCAAGTCCACCACCATCATGTCAAACATGCCGGCCGCAGCTTTCCCCTTCAGGCGGTCCATCCGCGACAGCCTACCCTTCGGCACGGTGCCAGCCCGCCACCAGCTCCACTGGATTGTCCCGGGCATCGTCAACTTGCCCGCCATGAACAGCTTGTACAGGACATCATGCAGCGGCGGCCTAGGGAACACGCCATCACGTGTCCACTCCGTGCTCGTCACGGCCGACCGCATGAACCACGTCCGGAACACTGCCTTCAACGAGACCACTACACCATTTATGGCCGAGAACGCAACCGCCGGCACCACGCCAAATGTCTACACAACCTTCACGCGTGTAAGCTCCTCCACGACAAACCCCTCCACCGTGCTGGTTTCTTTCACACACCCGGTGAGTGTGTGCAACGGGTTGTGCACCAGTACCACCGCCCTCTCGTTCTTGGCGTGCAATTCCCCATTGAACTCCTCCATGTACTCCGTGAACAACTGCGCGGGCAACTCAACGGATGTCATGGCTTCCCGCATGACGGAGATGAAACGACCACCGAAATGCCACTATACACCCTGTTCCGCGCAACCTACAAAGTCCAACATTGAAGCCGCTCACCTCGCAAGAAAAACGCCCTTTCCTCGCGTAGCGCACTTTCACGTCGTGCTCCTTCTTGCGCCCCGCATGTACGGGCCTCTTGTCATCCCTTCGTAGAACCACGATCGGCGGTTTCGTGACACATCCAGTCGCGTTGTACATGAAGCATACGGGCATGTGCCACTCCCGCGAAAGCTGCGCGCGCCAATCGATAAAAGTCCCTAGAGGCACCCGTGTGGGGATTAGCGGAAACTCCGTGAAAGTGAACACCTTTTCGGGCGGGGCCTTCAGCGCCTCGAGAAGAGATACCAGGGACGCCATTGCCGCAGGAAAAGGTATGCTGCTATTCCATCTAGTTCAGTTCTGAATCCACAAGTGCTGGGGTTTCCTACATCGTTTGCAACACATCCCTGGTTGGGGCCAGGGTGGCCACTCAAGTGCCACCTCAGCATATCATCCGGCTCCTGTACCCTGAAAGCGATTGCTCCAGAAACACCACCCAACTGTATCCACCAATTACTCAGAACTGCGCACCAATCGCTAACCGGCATTCGGATATCGACCACTTCCCAACCGAGTCTCCAACCCCCACCGCATGTCCGTCGTGGCAGACACCTGCGCCCCGGTACACTGAAACCCGAACGCGCAAAAGTATTGCAGTTCTGTACAGTTCGATACTGTATGCTGGCGGCATACGCGGCACAGCATACCCCATGTCCACTCACGGGAGGGTCGGATACACCAAATGTGTATAACTAGATTGTCCATTTAACAACTACAGAAACCAACTCCACCTATGTTCAGACTCCTCGACTAACTACCGTACTGGCGCATTGGTGTGACTAATTGCACACAGCGTGCGGGGCACGTGATTAAGGCCTACTCATACTACTTGAATGTCAGTCACAGGTTTGTGTCGACCGGTCAGACAGCACACACATAAGCACACCCTTCCCATCCTGACGTCCGACGCATACTCCACGACCAATGAATCACTCACACAGCAAGAACTTGTTCAGCAACAACACCGCGGGGTTGCTGAACGAGCGACAAATGTGCACAACGCGCTCAATGCTCTCCACAGCAATCACTGCGTGCCTTGTATCCTTGCGCGACGGGGTCAGCTGCACGCAGGTGGTGAGAGGGCAAATGCCTGCCCTCTCATACCACCGCACGTACACAAACCCCTTCCGGTCGCCCTCTGCGGTCTCAGCCTTGAAGATGCACAGCGCCTTGGCATACCACTCCTCCTTCTTGGGAGACTTCACTGCAAAGTCCGTGAACCACTTCTCTTTGGGGCTTGCCTTGACGAACGCGCCCTTGGAGACCAGAGCTCCTCTTTTGGTGCGTGGAATCGCCACCGCGGTATGGGCCTGCATGAAGGGGGTTAGAGGGAGGTGAATGTCGTTCTTCTGTGTGCAGACAAAGGACACGTATAGGGGCATAAGCACTTCCTGTATTGCAACCTGAAGTGAAGGATACAACAACAGGACGCGTACTCACCACGACCGCGGATGCCGTGATGGATGCAGCCACCATGCTCCCCGGCAGCGCATCCATGAGGTGGCCCAGTGCCGTGCGGTAGGTTCCCATCACAGCGTCGCCCTCCTCCGCCGGCCGCATTGTGCGACCCTTCCTCGTGAGCACGGGTTTCATCATCTCCACAGCCTACGGGTGTGGTTGTGCATGGGAGTAAGGCGACATTGTCAAAAACCAAGGCTGCGCGATAAGGCAAAGGGTCACCTTCGGACGGCCTACAATGGGATCTGCACCAAATAGGCTCACCTCGCGCAGCGCTGTCGCATACTGTCGCCCACCATCCGCGTCCTGTGCCACCTCCCTGCAGATCTCCCTCTGCACCTCCTCCTCCACGATGCGTCTGGAGATGTCCTTCCAGTTGCCGCCCCTGACGGGGTTCTTGACCATCCCCTTGTGGGTATGCTCCCACATCTCCGTGCTGTAGTGGTGCGGCATGCCGCGCCAGATCACATTGTCCAGCAAGTGGACAATCAGGTGGATCTTGGGAAAGCGCCAATGCGATGCGTGGTCCGGGTATGCCTGTGGCAGGATCTCCACCAACCTGTGGTGGAGTGCATCGCATGACCACACGCTTCAGTCGGTGTTGCAATGGCCAGAAACTACAACCCTCCCGAAGAGCTAAGCGTGTTTCCTTTGCCTTCCACACCCCCCACCCCGTCAACTCCCATCCGACATACTTGATGGCGTGGGCCCGTGCGGTTGCGAGCGTGGCCTCCGTGTGTGCGCTGACCCCCAGAAATGCCTTGTAGAAGGTGGCGTACATCCGGAAGGCACGCACGCGCAGTGCGGCCAACTCGCCTTCCTTTCCCGAACGCAGGGCTGACTTGTCCGCCACCAGGATGGGCATGACCTGCATCATGCTGCGGTGTTCAAAGGCGGCATAGTTCGCGCCGCTCATGAAGTAGGAGCTGCCTCCAGGGAGTCGCAAGATGACACTCGGGGTCTCTCCCTTGGTTGTCTTCTTGCGCCTGAAGCAACGGTGGGAACGCGCATAGGCACATATACGGGTTTGCCATCATACTGGTCTCACGTGCACAAGACCCGAGGTGCTTAACGTACGTGGCAACCCGGGCCTACTCACCTCTCAACATCACACCGCTCAGGCTTGCTTAGCACCGCTATGTGATTCTCCAGTATGTGCAATGCCCCCACCCCACTAGGGACGCACCTCCACGGGATGAGTTGACCACTCGGTCTGAATATCCTCCGCAGCTGTCAAGGTCTTGCACGCAAGCATGTTGCGTAGCACGTGCATCTCCGACTCCACTGTCCGAGGTGTGGCCACATGCTCGAGGTCTCGAAGAAGCTCTTCCGGGACGTAGCAGTTGCAGCAGGGCCGCTTCGTCCCCGTTTGCAGCGTCGCCGTAGCTCTGCAATGTTCGATGAAGTCCCCGGGGTAACCAAAAAAACATGGCACTGCCTTCACCGGCTCTCCCTTGGCGTCGGTGACGTAAAAGACTCTCAGTGGAGCACTGCGACAAGGGATGTAATCCGGGATGGAAATCACAACCGTCAGTTGCAACCGGGAACATTCAAAGAGGGAAAGATCAAACCACTGTATGGTGGTCATGCGTTGGTGCTGTGTACGTACGTCGAGGATTCCCGCATGAGCGGCGCCAGTATGATCCGAATCGCCTCCTGAAACACTCGGGCCTTCTCTGTAGAGGTAGCCCACTCCGGAGGGAAAGGCAGCACGCCAGCCAGAGCATGGCCTGGTTCTGTCTTTCGCAGCTCCTCCGGTACGTTCACCAGCGTAAGGAGGAAGGGCCATGCCTGACGGCGCCCGTTGCGCGTTGCGTTCGTGTCGTCGCTGTAGACAATGATGCCGAGCACCCATGCTGATGGGTCGTCCACCTCATTCTGCCACACATGCGCGCGTGCGATTGAGTGTATTCCGATGCACGGGAGCCAAAAACAAGGCACAGAACAACTACGGTACCTGAGCCTCTTCGAGCCATTTGGCCGTCTCCGGGTCGCTGTAAATCCGCGCATTGGTCTTCGGGTCCACATCAGTCCGAGGTTGTGTTACGAACCCCTTCACTCCCCCAAAGATGCGCACAATCTTCTTCACAAGCTGGAAAGGCGGCATACGTCAGCACGCCTAGTTGAATGGGAACACACCTCACGTAATGCTGGCAAGAAACTGCGCGGGTACGTACCTCCTCCGTGTTCCTATAGTGAAGCGGGAGCTTCTGAGTTTGACCCTTCGGCCCTCTGACCACGATCTCTTCGCACAGCCACGGGACCATGTCCGGAGGCGCCCTGGCTTCCCCCCATCTCCGCACGTCTAGCCAATTGCGCCAGCGCCGCAATGCACGCAGGTTGAATCTAGGGTTTCTGAATATGTGCAGAAGACGGTTCACTTCGCGCCGTGATAGGTCGGCGTCTCGGATGAAGAGATATATCGCAGTCAGGGTGTCAAAAATCTCCCCGTCAGAACTCTGATCACTACAGGTGGAGTGCTCGTCATCATCGCTGTGCTCTAGTTCAGCGGCGGTCGGAGGAGCACTGCGCTTCTCTGACGACCTCTCACTCTGGCCGCCCGTACTGGTGGTGCCCGGTCCGGGAGTACTAGGTGCATCGCGAAAAAATGCCTGTCGTGCCTCGAGGTATGCCTCTGCTAGGAGGATTTTCCCCCGCCCTAAAATCTTCTCACGGCAGGCATCGCTGGATGACAAGTGCGATTGCAGCCTGTTGTCGTCGCGGAATGCTCTTTTGCATCCTCCGCACACGTTGCCACTCATGATACCCCCTGCAAACCCTAAAGGAACATACCTCACTTGTTGAGGACTTTTGTGTGAGGTGAGCTCGCCCTCACACGATACCCGTCAAATTCGACCGCTGTTACTGGTGTGCTTGAGCTTACTTTGCAAACGCGAGCTATGCGCAAAATGGGATCACTGCACAACATGATTCGGTTGGATGCTAGTATCGGATCACGCTATTGTCGGGTATCCGTTCTCTTACGTATCGATAATTTGCAATCGAGTAGCTTGACCTCCGTTATGCGCAAATCAGCCTACACCATACAGGGTACCTTTCGTGCATGCCCGCGTGATCTGCATGCCATGGTTTCGCGCCACATGTCATGCTTCTAGGTTTTCCCGCCACAAATCTTACGGATCCATCACATCACTTCCGAGGCCAGGCCGACACTGCGCACCAGTGTACTGGCATTTGGCCAACATAAGTTAGACGTCGGCGCATACTCTGTCATTTCCATCGCTTAGATTACCTTTCGCTCCTGCTTTTTGATCCGACATGTCCCCTCTTGGGCGTGCCCGCGACAAGCAGTGTGTTTCTAAGGAACGATCTCAGCGCGGTGCTAAGAAAGACAACCCTGCTAGCGACGGAGATGTCATGGATGTCCGACCAATAGTGTGTTCCCTCCGGAGCGGCAGGCAACAAACGACAACTGAAACCCCTGCCAAGAATGAAGGCTTGAAGACCGAAGGCGGGGACGGTCCTACGCAGGTATACAAGACGACGCTGGAAACGGAAGCGGACCTCCCGGAGCCTCACGACCTTGTCTATCGCCTCCGCACAGCAAAACGCCCCGAGAACATGAAACACCTGACGCTATTCAACGCGGACGGCGTTGGTTGTGTCGTGGAAGCTTCGGACATCGTCACCATCGCCGACGGTGAATGTATCACCGACGCCATCGTTGACTTTCACAACGTGTAAGTGTAACACCGAGCGTTTACTAGGACGTGAACATGTCGGTCGATGGTTTAATGTTCCCCGTTGTGTACCCGCACCATCACGGTTTGTGGACCGGACTGTGTGCAGGCTACTGAGCATTCGGTGCCCCACGACGCCCAACGGCTCAACATGGGCCGCCGTCGACAGCAAGGATTTTGACTACTGCAACTCGTTCAAGAAGCCTTACACTATGGGCAACTCTTCTCGAATCTTTGACGTGGACTTCTTGGCCATTCCGATCTTCAAAAGGTGAGCACCAGAGTTTAGCGGCGCGGTGCAGCCGAAAGTCAAGTGTTCATCTACTGCCACAACCGATTAACAATCCCCATACCCTTGCCACGTTGCAGTTCGCACTACTCGCTTATGGTCGTGCCGTCCCCAAAGCGGCTGCTACGCGCCACCACGGATGAAGCCACTGGCCCTTTGGAGTTGATCTTACTCGACAGTTACGGCACGCACCGGGACGACCCATCTGTGTTTGATCGCGTCAAACTGTAAGTTACTGACTGCACATCTAGACTCGTGATTGTATCTCACGTGTCACACGCTGAACCCCAACTCACCCTTTTCGTTGTTGCCGTCCCAGGTTTCTGGAGCTAACCGCCAAGGACTTACACCCGGAGTGCGATGAAGCCACGATTGTTGCAAATCTGAAGGAGGCAAAACCCATTCCGATGAAGGTGTGTGCTTCTCCTGCTAGTAACCCGTGTCGACGCACATGCCATACATCTTCACATCTCTAATTTTGTGTTCTTTTACGTGGTACGTTACGTGCGTGCAGAAGCATCAGGTGCAGCAGCAGGACAACACGCATGATTGTGGCATCTTTGTGTGCCAATTTCTGAAGGTGTTGGTGGACACTGACTTCAAGACACTACGATCTTACCTGTACTTGGGGGGCGTCAGTGCGTTGGAGATGCGGTGGGACATGCGGGTGGACCTATGCATGCATGCGGCGGAAGACCTTATACCGACGCTAGCGAGGCTGGGAGTGGTGGTCCCGAGGCAACCCGCCCCCAGGGTCGCGAAGCATGGGGCGGTAGTCGATTCAGGTGCGGAGGATAGCAACACGAAGCTAACACGGATGCAGGTGGAGCACTATAGTATGAAGCGGGACTTGATGATCTGGAAGGCAGCTGTCACAGCTGTTGGAGCGGCCATGGGGTACAGTGTCGACCAGCTCATTGCTGGAGCTGCCCACGTCCTGCAGCAGCAAGCTTCCGATGGGGAAGCGGCGACACCTGGGTGCAGTGGGTCCACTGCACCGTCCACGCCCAACCCACGTGCAGGCGCGCGGCCAGGAGCCCCCGACAGCCCCGGTTCCAAAGGAGAACCTCCTGTGAGTGTTGGCCAGGGTGGTGCTGGCACCACAAATGTCGACCTAGGGGTGGTACATCCCTGCCCGTCCCCGCTGCCCGTGCCGGCGAAGCCGTTGTGGTCGCAGAAGGCAGCCCCGGTGTGTGTGCCCTTCACGCATGAGGCAGCGCATACGGTCGTTCACCCAGGTGGGACGAAGCCCGTGGTATTGGCTATGCTGGCAAAGAGGAAACGAGACGACACTCCTTCGCCCGGGAGTGATGCTGAGGGCGCCGTCCCCGCTAGCAAAAGCAAGAGTAATGGACAGGGTCAGAGCTCCAAATGGAAGGGTGTGCAGAAAGAGAAACGGGGGAGGTGGAGCGCCAAGATACTGTTCTGGGAGAAGGATAAGCCCAAGCGCACCCAGATGAGGCTGGGTGCGTACAACAAGGAATTGGAGGCAGCCACTGCGTACGCAGCAGCTGTGCACGTGGTCAAGGAGGGGCGACGTGTGTCAGGGACAGTGGAGCTGTCGGATGAGGAGAGGGGGCTGCTGAAGGGGTGCACATTGTCCGCAGTCAAGAGGCTGGTAAGGGGCAGACAGTGGTTTCGATGGACAGAGTGGGAGACGGCACTGGCGGACTGTCCGGAGGAGGACTCAGGCGGGGAGGGGGAAACGCACTCCGATTCACAGGATGATCAGGCAGCGGATGCGCATGGAGGCGCCGCCAAGGAGGTGGATACGGAGATTGAGATGGGCGGGGTGAAGAAGGGTGTTCCTGAGGCGCAGGTTGGGAGGGGAACGCCGAATGAGCTCAATGAGGAGGAGGCGGATACACTGGACGGAGTGGCAGAACAGGGTATACATACAGGCGTGTCGCTGGGGGATGCCTTTGAGGAGGCAATGTTTGATGTTGACCCTGAGGGGGTGACAGAGGGCTGATTCTGTGGTGCATTCGTGTCGTCGAGAGCAGTGAAATAAGTTGTAATTGTGTAGTGCAATGATATAAGTCACTGTATACGTTAGTTGGGTTCGGCTGTTGCATATAACGAACACCACGAGCATACGCGGGATGCTACACAACCGTGTGATAGGCTGTTGGGTTTGTCTACCAAGGGTGGAGGGATATCGCGAGATCCAATGACATGTTCACACATGGCCCGGGGGTCACTTGCAATCCGGAGCAACAAACGGGACTGGCTAGCGTGATTGCGGGACCTGGCATAGGGCGTTAGAAGTGGCTCTTGTAGGAATGCGCATACTTCTGTCAAATTGTGTTCGGATCCCGTAGGAGGTCCGGTTTGCATCTCAGGAATGGAAACTTCCTTGGGAACGTCAGAAGAACTGCCAGCAGGCCGCTCACAGCGGCCTAAGCGCACACCAGCGTATCTCCGCAACGAGTATCACCTGCCTGGTAAACGTTCTCGTGAGCCGAAATGTGTGCGCGGGAATGCGGGGCAGTTCAAGCGCCCGAGGATTACGAAGCAGAAGTGTGTCCCAGTCGCAGGTAAAATTTTTGTATCGGTTTTGCAAGGACTGGGGGGGACTGTGTGGGGTTTGTTGCTCACTACACGAGTATGTCATTGTTATGTCATTGTTATGCGATATGCTGACGTCGTAACCATGGCGGCTGTATGCGTTGTTACACCCGCGATCAGGGGTGGCTAGTGCGGCACAGGGAGCATCGCAAGTGACGCCGCAGGCGGCGGTTTCGTCAAGCGTCGGCGCAAGAGATGAGGATGTCGGCAGCGACGGGGGAGGCGAGGATGTTCCTGTCCGCTCCAAAGCGGTCGCGTCGGTTATGGCGGACGAGAACCCGGCCGCGCACGACACGGCGGCGAAGGCGCCGAGGCCTTCGGTGCCGGACAACCCTTTCGTGGCGATGCCGAGCGTGTCAGGGCAGCCGGCAAGTGGTTCTCGGCGTGAGGAGACGTCAACTAACGACAACGTCGTCATTATCCGCGCCGAGCTCGAGGCCCTGAAGGCGGCCAGAGACGACGGCGAACGGCGGATTGCGCGCCTGGAGGCATTGCTGCTGTCCGCACAGGATCCCAGGACGCATAACAAGAGGCAGAGATGTCAGAGGGAGGAGCGGGCGCGCGGTGAAGAGAGGGCGAGCAAGCGCCGGCAGGTCGATTCAGGCTCCGAGGACGCTTCATCCGCGGAGGGGGATGATGTGGAGGCGGAAGCGGAGCCCGCGCCGGTCCGCCATGTGCGCAAGAGGCGCCATATGATAGAGGCGAGCTCTCCCATACTCCAGGAGGCATTTGACTTCATGCCGGCGGGCAAGGCGTGGAAGGTGAGGTTTGCGCAGTGCGGTCTTGTCTATATACCTGCGTGTCTAGCGTATGTCGTTTGGGGGAGTCCCCGTTTGTATCTAATGGTGTTTGTAAGGGTCCATTGTCTCATGCGGTTGCTCTGGCAGAAGCACTGCGACTTTGTGCGGGAGTACCTGTTTATCGAGCGGGGAAATGATGCTATGACATTCTACCCCAGCAGCTACGACAGACACTGGGGTTATGCTGGGTCACGCCACGGCTGACGCTGAAGTTTGCTGCTGTCGCGTTGGCGGCAGACAAAGGGCGACGCGATGACTTGAACAAGAGTCTGAGGCAGTGGAAGACGGAGGTTGCAGGCCGTGTACGAGACATTGCGCTGCCGCGCATTGGACTGTGGCGCGACGAGCGGGATGCGAAGAGTCCGTGGAGACGCAAGGAGGCCAGGGAGGCCGCGGAGGTGCGGACTCGCTATCGCGTTCTGGACGACGTCAACGGTACGATGAGGTCGGGACTCCGGGGAGCCATCCCTTCGGCAGGAGTTTTGCTGTTCTGATGTTGCGTTGGCGGATGGTGTGTGCAGAGGATCTAACACTGTCAACCTGGAGCGAGAGCAAGACCGGGATGATTTTTGCTAGTGGGGCATTCACCGCGTGCGCCGCCACCGCATTCCGGCCAAAGAAGGTCACAGGGACAGTGAAGGTGAAGCTGTACCAGTTGGCGTGGCTCGAGCACGTGGTAAGTTGCATCACTTATAGTTGCAACTTCAGGGATTGTGAACATGCTCATGCGAGTGCCCGAGATGCTTGTTGGTCCACGCAGGTGACGGACACCATCCTGAACTGGGACAAGCGCAAGGGGCGTCTGTCAAATTCAGCAGGCGGCAACGCGCAGGTGGTGAACGGGCTGCAGGAGGTAGCCGCTGCGGCAGTGGCTCAAGCGATCCAGGATTTCAAGCCAACGTACGATGCAGACGAGGCGGCGTGGGTGTGGGGGGAACATGGGTTGATGCTGTCGTCGGATGGGCTTGAGCACCTGGTTTCCGGCCGGTATGCGCATAGGGCTCCAGTGGCTGATGATAGAGCATCAGTTTCCCTGTAAGCGGGCTGAGGCAGGGGCTGTCGTGAGAGGGCGTTGCAATCGCATCCGACTTGTGGCGGAGGAAGAGGATTAGCTGCCCAAGAAGTGGGTGGTTAAGGCACACAGGGTTTGAAAGTTATCGTTGCAGGCGGGCAATAACTAATGGTTTTACGTCAAGTGACGTGGCTCTGGGCTTGCTAAGTAGTGTTGGTGTGGCTATTAATGGGTTTGTAATTGTAGGATGGCACGTTGTGGTGTTTGGATATGGTGTGGTATGTGTTGTTTTAGTGCATAATTTTTGAACTATTCCTAGTAATGGCTACCACAAAACGGGAAAACGAATGCAGTAACGCATACATTTCGCGCAAGCGGGATGCATTACAGTGCGCCATCCAATGGTGGGCGTAAAGAGCGCTCCGGTGAGATCGACGGCTGGTATTCACGCCGTGAGCCCCGGGTTATTGCCCGTGTGGACGTAGGATGCAGAGGGTGCACGGGTGTGCTACGATCCAGATTGTGTGTACATAGGGGTGGTAACGCTGTGGCAAATTTCGGTAATGTTCGTAGTGGGCGCTGGTTGGGCAGGGCGCGGAAAGTGTGCGGAAGAGGGGGGGCCCGCGATGACGCGAAATTCGCGGGCGACGGTGTTTGGAGCCAATCATAGGGACAGTGGAGGTGATAGGGTTACGGTGTGGCAATTGCGTTATTGGGCAGGCACACAGGGCTCGGGCATGCACCTCCGTTCCTGTGGCTCCCGTCGCGCATGCGGTGGTGTTCAGTGGCGGTATGCGATAGGCCGTTGCTGGGTCTGGGGCGTCGCGCGATTGGTCCACGAGGGCTTCCGCGATGCAACTGCAGTGGTGGGCGAAGTGGGGTTACTAGGGGGTGGGCCAGTCTGTATTCAACACTTGCGCGCGCACGAGTGGTGTACGTTTCGGCAGGCAACCGTACCGGGCATGCTGTGCCACCGTTTCATTGTGCCACGGTGGCGCCACATTGTAACCGGGTACGCGCTTTGCGAGGAGTGATGTTTCTGCAAACAGGCTGCACGTGCGCGGCATGTTGTTTGCGTTTGCAATGCTTGCGGAAGGTGGCGCAAATGTGTCCGCATGTTTGCAGTATTGTGTCGAGGGAGTTGAGATCCAGTTGCAGGGTTGCAACTTTTTTGCAACTTTTTGTCAACTCTGCAGTCACTCGCATTTCTGCAACTGTTGTCCATCACTGCGAAGTTGCAAAACCAAAGTATCCGCCGAGTTACTTTTCTGCAACTTTTCAGCAGCCTACTGGCAAGTCCTTTTTCGCGATGAAGCTCACTCGTCTCGCGGCCGGCCTAACCTCGTTTCGTCTTTTTCTCGTCGCACGTCTCGCAGGTGTGCGACTGTGCGACGAAGCAGTGCTGCGGGGGCGGGTGGGCGGACTGGGCGTTTTCGTACGTGTTGTTCAACGGGGGCATCCAGGCGGAGGAGGACTACGCGTACCAGGCGGCGGACAGCACCGTCTGCAGCCTCTATGTCTCCGCGCCCACCGCCGCCAAGGTACGATCTTCAATCCCGCAATAGCTCGTCGGTCCGCGGCCTTGCGGGTGAGTTGGCGTCACATGCTTTGAGCTCGCATTGCGATGCACTGCAGTGCAAGTCGCAGTTGGCGCGTGGTGCCCATCAAGCCACCCACTGCGCGCATGTCCCCTTGCACAACCCAGCTCCCGGCAGATCACGGGGTGGGAGTTGGTGCCAGCGTACAGCGCGGTGGCGCTGATGAAGGCCGTCAGCATGCAGCCCGTCGTGGCGTTCCTCAGCGGCTCCGAGCGCGACTTCCAGAACTACACGTCGCGCAACCGCCTGCGCATCTACGGGTCGCCGGAGCTGCCGGGGCTGTGCACGACGGACGTGAACCACGTGGTGGTGGTGGTGGGGTACAACTACACGGGGCCCGCCCTCGCGGGCAGCTACTGGATCCTCAAGAACTCGTGGTTCAGCACGTGGGGCGACGGCGGCTACATGTACCTCGCCATGACGCCCGACGTGCGCGGGAAATGCGGCATCCACGCGTATGTGGCGCTCGAACGAGTTACGCATGCAGACATTGTCCCCTCTCTCCATCCCACCGCCTCGCCTCCTCCTCTCTCCATCGTCCAACCTCCTCCCTTCCGTTCTCTTTCTCACTCTCACTCTGCGCTCTCTCGCTCTCTCATTCTCTCTCCCTCCTCCCTCCCTCCGCGTCCCCCCCGTGCCCGCAGTCTGCCGGCCATGTACCCGGTGTTCTACCCGTTCGGCCCGCAGCCGGTGCGCTTCAGCGACAAGCAGCGCGACGACAGCGACGGCCGCTGGTGGACCAAGCCGCTGCCCGTCACCTCCGACGCCTGCCAGTTGCTCATCAACCCCTGCGGCGCGGGCGAGTGCTACACGCGCAACAACGTGGCGCGGTGCGACTGCAGCGGGCCGGAGGGCATGGTGGAGGTGCTGGGCGTGCCCACCAGCAAGTGCGTCTCCGTCTCCCCTTGCAACGCCACCGCCATCAACCCCTGTGGCGCCGGCACCTGCACCAACACCGGCAATGGCACCTACACCTGCCAGTGCCCCGCCGTGAGTGCGCCCCCTTGTGCCCCGCCGCGAGTGCGCTGGCCTGCATCAGTTGCGTCGTGCGGCCTCGTCTGCCTCTCGCGCTTTCCATGTCAGTCGCTGTATCCTCCCCGTCCCCTTTCCCCCCCTCTCCGCGGTTTGCAGGGCTATGCCATTGGTGCGGAGACGGACGGGTCGCTGACATGTGTGGGTGTGGCAGGCGGCAACACGTCGTCCCTCACCTACACCACCGTGCCAGGGGACACATGCGCTGTGAGTGCCACGTGTGCTGTGAGTGCCACACATGCTGCGAGTGCCACACATGCTTCGTGTGCCACGTGTGCTGAGTGCCACATGTGCTGCGAGTGCCACGTGTGCTGTGAGTGCCACACATGCTGCGAGTGCCACGTGTGCTGTGAATGTCACATGTGCTGCGAGTGCCACGTGTGCTGTGAATGTCACATGTGCTGTGAGTGTGACATGTGCTGCGAGGGCGGGCAAGGCAACTGCGTCTCATACCCACTCGCCCGCATGCTCTTGCCGCCCTCTTCACCACTGCCACCTGTGCCATGGGCCGCGTGCAACAATTGCCTCCCCATGGCATTCTCATCGTGTGTCATCCCCGTTCCTCCCCCTCCTCCCGTCCTCCTCTCCTTATCACAGGGCATAGCAGCGGGGTACAACAGCAGTGTGGAGGCGCTGGCAGCGCTGAACCCTTTCCTCAACTGCTCACTGAGCTACATCCCACCGGGCTTCGTGCTGTCGCTCTCCAACTCGTCAGCGCCCTCCACCACGGTGTGCACGGCCACCTACATCGTGCGCGCCAACGACACGTGCGCCTCGCTCACCGCCGCGCTCTTCAACGGCAGCGACGCCGCCTTCCGCCAGGCCAACCCGCTGCTCTGCACGCCCGACCGCCCCGCGCTGCTGCCCTCGCAGCAGGTATGCGCCGCTGCGGCGCCACTGTCAGCGGCGAATGCGTCGGTGGTGCAGTGCGGGCAGACGTATGTGTCGGTGGTGGGTGACTCGTGCAACGCCGTGGCTATCAAGTACTCCCTCGACCTCCCCACCTTCAAGTCGTGAGTGCCTCACCCGCTCCTCTCATCTCCGTGCCAAGCGATGCTATTTCACACTACTTGCATCGCTTGGCAGATTGAACTCTCATGGCAAAGTGAACTCGCATGGCAAAGTGAACTCGCATGGCAAAGTGAACTCGCATGGCAAAGTGAACTCGCATGGCAAAGCGAACTCGCATGGCAAAGTGAACTCGCATACCTCTCCTTCACTCCCCTTCCCGCGCATCGTGCTGCAACCTCTCTGTCACACTCAACACAAGCTCTTGCCCTGCCTCTGCGTGTCGCCCGCCAGGCTCAATCCGGCACTGGACTGCAGCAGGGGAAACATAGACGCGGGCACGTACCTGTGTGTGGCCGCCAAGTCAGACAAGGTTGGTTCTGTGCTGCGTCGCCCCCGCATTGCGCTGGTGCCCTCCGTGTCCATGCCTTGCCTGTGCCCTCCGTGTCCATGCCTGGCCTGTGCCCTCCGTGTCCATGCCTTGCCTGTGCCCTCCGTGTCCATGCCTGGCCTGTGCCCTCCGTGTCCATGCCTTGCCTGTGCCCTCCGTGTCCATGCCTTGCCTGTGCCCGTCCAATGCTGCTGCTGCTCGCCCTAGTGCTGCTTTGCATGCTGCTGCTTCTTGTGCTGCTTCTTGCTGCTATTGGTGTTGCAGGTTCCGCTTCTTCTGCTGCTACTGTTTATTCTCTGCCTGTCCCCTTTCACTGTCTCTCCAGTCCTCCCCCATTCCTCGACACTTGCCATTCTTCTTGATCGGTCAGACCCCTTATGGCCTGCTCACCCCTTCCCCCTGTACCTCATCGCCTTGCCCCATGCTGCTCCTCTGCGCCCATCCCCTTCCCTCACAGACCACACTGTACTGCACATGGCCGTACACGCTGCTGCATCTTTCTTGTCTCACTGCCCCCCCCCCCCCGCGTTTCTTTTCCCTTTGCTGTGCGTTCCCTTTCCTTCCCAGGGGAGACGGCAGAGTACTGCACGGCATGGTACTCAGTGCCATCCCCCCCCTTGCTTCCTCGCTCCCCATCTCCCCTGCCCTCCCCGCCCTTAGACGGTGGTGAACTGCACGGCGTGGTACACGGTGCTGCAGGGCGACAACTGCCCCAACATCTGGAACGCCGCCAACCTCACCGAGTCCACCTTCCTCGCCATCAACCCCGGCATCCGGGTAAGAAGCCCAGCATCATCAGTGGCCATCGGCTTGGGCATCAGGTTAAGGTGCTTCAGAGGTATTTTGTTCTCTCTTGCACTAGTGCGTCGTTAAGTCTGCATGGTTCGCCGCCGTGTGCCGTCGCTGTGCCTCATGTCATGCACTTCCTCTGCCTCATGTCATGTCATGCACTTCCTCTGCCTCATGTCATGTCATGCACTTCCTCTGCCTCATGTCATGTCATGCACTTCCTCTGCCTCATGTCATGTCATGCACTTCCTCTGCCTCATGTCATGTCATGCACTTCCTCTGCCTCATGTCATGTCATGCACTTCCTCTGCCTCATGTCATGTCATGCACTTCCTCTGCCTCATGTCATGTCATGCACTTCCTCTGCCTCATGTCATGTCATGCACTTCCTCTGCCTCATGTCATGTCATGCACTTCCTCTGCCTCATGTCATGTCATGCACTTCCTCTGCCTCATGTCATGTCATGCACTTCCTCTGCCTCATGTCATGTCATGCACTTCCTCTGCCTCCCGCTCCTCCCCACCATCTTTCCCTCACGCCCTACTTTTTCTCCTGCCCCTGTCCCCTCGCACGTGTGACAGTGCCAGCCACCATACCTGCAGGTGGGGCAGAAGGTGTGCATCAACTCGCCCATCGTGCCCTCGCTCATCGCCTCCACCAACTCCTCCTTCTCGCTCTACACTGTGAAACCCGGCGACACGCTCGCTCTCATCTCGTCGCGCTTCATCAACCGCTGCATGCCCACATCGGTGTCGCCCGCGGCCATAGCGGCGTACAACAACATCCTCGAGACGGCCGCGCTGCTCGTCAACACCACGCTCATCATCCCCTGCAACGTGCGCCTCGGTGCCATTGACTGCGGGTGTACCACGTCACTGCCGGTGTGCGGGTCGGACTACGTGACGTACCCGTCGTACTGCGACGCCGTGTGCAACTACGCCACGCCCGTGCTCGCCAACGACATCTGCACCGGCTGCAATGCTGCCTGCATGGGCCGCGCTGGCTCTGCGCCCGCGGCCGGATACGGGTGCCTGCAGGCCATCTGCCCCTACCCCACGTGGCCGCCGCCTGACAGCGACTGCACGCAGCTGCTGGGCGACGGGGTGGGCAAGTGCTGTGCGTACGTGAAGACGACATGTGAGAACGTGTGCCAGGACTTCAAGCTCGCCATGGGGGGCACGTCCACCACGCAGGCCAGCAACTACAAGAACTGCTACAACGCATGCACGTGCTGCAAGCGCATCCCCTGCGGGTTCAACTGCACTGCGCCGTCGTCGTGCCAGGATGAGACCCCCAAGCGCTGCTCCTACTTCATACTCACTGGCTTCACATGGCAGTGCAGCTACTGGCCCGCCGCCTCCCCCCTGCCCTGACCCCTCCTTCCTGCCTTCAACTGCTTGTGCGCCACACAGGATATCCAGGAAAGTGAAGAGCTGGGGGGGGAAGGTGTCATGGGCGAATTGAAGACAGCTGGGTTTGAGGGTACAATCCAGATTGTCGTTGCGTTTTAGGTTCAGATGCTTTTTCTATTTTTCCGTTTCGTTTTTTTTTGTACAACTTATAAGAATCCCACTAACTTTCTTACATATACGGTATCGTCTGGCCCTGGATAGTAGCGCATATGCGCTTATAATAAAATCGATTTTTTTTAGGGGGCGCTTGTAATCGAGTAACGGCCATAAGCGCCCACAATAAGGCGAACACAGCTGTGTGCTATTCACGTAGGATCATGTGTCAAATGTCTAAGACTGTCTCTGACCTCACTGCCCACCTGCGCTCCCTTGACACTCGCTTTCGTGCTGCTTGCACTGAGGACCAGCTTGCCCTTGCCCCGCCCCCTATGTGGCTCACCATTCACTGGCTAGTCACTCGCCTCCCTGACCGCCTAGCCACAGCCCGCGACGCGCTTCTTCTGAAGCATCCCACTGAGCTTACCATCGATCTTCTTGAGACCGCTCTCTCGAAGATCGAGAGTAACCTCCTCGCAGTTGCCTCTGCCTCCTCAGCACCTCCTCCTCGTCTTTTTGAGGGGTGTGCGGTACCACAGCTTCCCACCTTCACTGCCTCCCTTGCCATCCCCGCGTCTTCTGCCTCTGAGGAGACGGCGGCTGTTTCTGTCTCTGGCGGACAGAAACGTGGCAAGGCTAGCAAGAAGGGAGGGAAGGGCGGGGGTACTGGGGGTGGTGTGGGTAGTGGTGGCGGCGGTGGGTCGGGTGGTGGGAGTGGTAGTGGGGGTGGCTCGGGCCCTGACGGTCCTCCTCTCGACGGTGGAGTTATCACTGGTGGTGGGGGGTTCCAGCAGCAGCAGCAGCCGACTTCTCAGCAGCTGCCACAGCTTGGACAGCAGCAGCAGCAGGGACCGCAGCAGCAGCGACAGGGCCAGCAGCAGCGCCCACCGCAGCAGCAGCCTCAGCAGTGGGGGCCTCCGCAGCAGTGGGGCCCTCAGCAGCAGTGGAGGTCTGTGGGTCCCCCGAGCACTGGGCGCAGTGCCCCCCCCTCCAGTCGGGGACCTCGCTCGGCCGGCCGCGACGTTGGTCCCTGTGAGTACTGGATCCTTACGGGTCCTCGACGGGACTCGTACTGTGGCCGCCCCGACCACTCTGCTGCACGCTGCTTCAGTCGTCTCGACGACCTCTACCGTTTGCACCACGGCCCCTCTGCTCCCCCGCCGCCACGCTGGGGGACGCTTCTTGCTCGTGGCATTGCTGTTTTTGATATGACTATGGATGATGCTAGGTCTTATGCCATGTATGCTGATGTTGACTATAGTGCTCCTGGATCCGTTTACTTGCCTGTCCCTAGCTTAGGTTCTCTGCCTGTTGCTAGTGTAGGATCTTGTTTAGCTACTAGTACAGGTACTCCCTCCCCCGGCGGAAGCGTCTCTCTCCTTCACGCTGGACTCAGGAGCGTCGCACTGCTTCTTCCGCGACCGCACGACTCTCTCTCCACTACCGGCGCCAGTCTCTGTCGCCCTGGCCGATCCCACTTCGGGACCGGTCATTGCGACTCACGCCACTACACTCCCGTGCCCAGCTGCCCCTTCCGGTTCCCTGGGTGGCCTCCACGTTCCTACGTTCTCTAGGAACCTGGTTGGTGTGGGCCCCCTGGCGAGACAGCACGTCGGGGTCTGGGTTGAGCCTTCTGGTGACACTGCAGTCTGTGTGGACGGTGACACGTACGCCCCCTTGGCCACTTTTCGCCAGGAGCCGGGCTCTGGTTTGTACACCCTCCGAACCGACCCCCGTCAGGTTCCTCCATCCCACCAGGTAGTCGGGTCCAGTCAGGTTGCTGTGTCCGGTCCCGTTGCTGCGTCGTGCTCGTGTCGGTCGCTTGCCCACCCCTCCCTCCTCTGGCACCACCGCCTTGGTCACCCGTCCCTCCCTCGTCTCCGCGCTATGTCCAGTCAGCGTCTTGTCTTAGGCCTCCCCCGAGTCCTCCCACCACTCCCGCCGTCCCCAGCTCCTCCGTGCGGTCCTTGTGTCCAGGGTCGGTTCCGTGCCACCCCTCACTCCTCCACCCTTCGTCTAGGGCCCTACGCCCCATTTTCTGTGGCCCTACGCGGCTCGGTACGCCGCTCACCAGTTGAACCTCTGGCCTCGCGTCTCTCGGCCAGGGGCTTCACCGACCAGTCTTTGGACAGGGTCCCCTGGTGTTGCGTCGAGGTTTCGTGTCTGGGGCACCTTGGCTCTTGTCCGCGACACCTCTGCGGACAAGATCTCGCCTCGTGCCGTCCCCTGTGTCTTCCTTGGTTTCCCAGAGGACTCCTCTGACTTCACATTTTACCACCCTCCCTCCCACCGGTTCTTTGACTCTCGTGACGTCCGTTTCGACGAGTCTGTCCCCTACTACGTCCGGTACCCCTGTCGAGGTCTCCCGGTCCCCCCCCCCCCCTCCCCCCTCTTCCTGGCTCCACCTCCTCCTCCTCCCGCCCCTGCTCCTCCGGTACCCCCCCCTGGTCCTGCTCCGTCTGGTGTGTCCCACGCTACTCCCCCCCCCTCGGTACCCCCCCAGGTCTCTCCTCCTTCCCCACAGTCGTCCTCACAGCCTCCGCAGCAGCCGTCAGCGCTTCCTTTACCGGCCACTGCGGACTCTGAGGGTGTTGGTGCTCGGGGTGAGGGCTCTGGCGGTGCTGGTGTTGGAGTTGTTCGTGCACCTACAGGAGCCGCCCGTTCTGGGGGTGTTGGCGTTGGCGCTGAGCGTGCACCTGCCGCGGCTGCCCGTTCCGAGGGTGCTGGAGCTGGTGGTGGTGCTGGAGCTGGTGGTGTTTCTGGAGCTGGAGAGTCTGAGGCTGGTGCTGGTGCCACTGGAGGCACCCCGACTGGGGGTGCGGGTCCACCTCCTACAGGTGCTAGTCGTGCTGCCGCAGGGGGTACACGCTCTGGGGGTTCTCAGCCGGGTGCTGTCGAGGGCGGAGCCGGTTCTTCTTCTTCGTCTCCTGACACCACTCCTCCTCCTCACCCCTACCTGACTCGACACCAGACCCGTCTTCGTCTTGAGCGTGAGGAGCAGCAGCGTTTGGAGCGTGAGAGGTTGGAGGTTCAGCAGCGGGTGGAGCGTGAGAGGCTGGAGTTGCAGCGGGAGCAGCAGCAGCAGCAGCAGCAGCAGCAGCAGCCGACGCAGCAGCCGGAGCAGCCTCCGTCCTCTGTTACTGGCCTTCGGGCCCTTGGTCTCCCCTCCTCCTCTCCTCCTGTGTTCGGTCCGACGTTTCCTCCTCCGGACTCAGCTCCGGCTGTGTTCCCTCGTTCTCAGTCTCCTCCGTCTCCCGCTCCGTCTCCCACTCCTCTCTCCCACACTTGGGCCTCTCGTCCTCCTCGTGCTCGTCCCTCGTCACCTGTCCGTGACCTTCGTACCGTGTTGTTTCGTCCTAGTCCTCCTCGTTCTCCTCCGTCTGTCCTTCCTCGTCCTCCTGAGTCGTCCCTCACTGCCTCCCTGTCCACTCCGGTCACTGACTACTACCGCACGTACCGCCCCACTCTCTCTCGTGTTCTCGCCTCTCTTGTTACAGACCCTCGTGCCTCTCCTTCCTCCGTCGCGGTCCTCACTGTCTCTGTCACAGAATTTACTGCTACGCGTCGCCTTGACTACGCCACTCGCGTTGTGGCGGCTCCTCCTGTCCGTCCTCTGTCCGCCGGGGGTGAGTCTGCCCTTGGCTGTGCCGTCCTAGAGGATAGACAGTTTGAGCTAGAGTTCCTGGCAGCCGCTTCACCTCATCTCTGTGCCATGCTGCTCGCTCCTGAGGGAGACCCCGACGCTCCTGACATACCTACTCCTCGCACTTACGCTGAGGCAGTGTCAGGGCCTTGGGCCTCTCAGTGGAGAGCTGCCATGGACGCAGAGATGGCCTCCTACAGGTCCACAGGCACTTACGTTGACGAGGTTCCCCCCCCAGGGGCGAACATTGTTGACGGCATGTGGATCTTCAAGGTGAAGTGGCCGCCGGGATCTCCTCCAGTCTTCAAGGCACGCTACGTGGCTAGAGGTTTCAGTCAGCGTGAGGGAGTTGACTTCTTTCAGACCTTTGCGCCCACCCCGAAGATGACCACTCTTCGGGTGTTACTGCACGTAGCAGCGCAGAGAGACTACGAGCTACACTCTCTCGACTTCTCCACTGCCTTCTTGCAGGGCAGCCTACACGAGGAGATCTGGCTGCGTCGTCCTCCGGGCTTCACTGGCACTTTCCCGCCTGGGACCCAGTGGAGCCTCAGACGACCGGTCTACGGTCTCCGCCAGGCACCTCGTGAGTGGCACGACACTCTCCGCTCTACTCTGTCCGACCTTGGGTTTGAGCCGTCTTCCGCCGACCCGTCGCTGTTTGTTCGTCGTGGGCGCACACCTTTCTTTGTTCTTGTCTACGTTGACGACCTGGTTTTTGCCACAGCCGACACAGTCGCACTGGCGGAGGTGAAGTCCGAACTGCAGAAGAGACACATCTGCAATGACCTTGGGGAACTGCGCCGCTACCTTGGCCTGCAGATCTCCAGGGACAGAGCCGCTCGCACCATCACTCTGACTCAGTCACACATGGTGCAGCAGGTCCTTCAGCGGTTCGGGCTTCAGCACTCCTCTCCTCCTCCCACCCCTCTTGCTGTAGACCACAGACTCACTGGGCCTTTTCCTGACGAGCCGTTCGAGCCCAGTGGTCCCTACGCAGAGTTGGTGGGCTGCCTCATGTACCTGATGACGTGCACTCGCCCGGACCTCGCCTTCCCTCTTAGCATCCTTTCTCGCTTTGTTGCGACAGGGAGACACCGTCCTGTTCACTGGGCGGCGGCTAAGAGGGTGGCGAAGTACCTCGGCGCGACATCAGACATGGGGCTTGTGCTTGGAGGGACACAGCCAGTTGTACTCACCGGTCACTGCGACTCCTCCTACG